ACCCTTGCTATAGAATATTGGGGCAAAAAAATATTTTACAGTCTGTCATTGAACAAATATCTCTCTTTTATTCATAAGATCATCAATCTATGATGAGAGTTATTCTAAGTCAGCAGAATGGAGTACTGAAGAAAACTCTAAGTCACCAGAGTTTGAGTTAAAATAACTTAAGTCCCCACTGGCATGCATTGTGTGACCTCGGACAAAGCACTTAACCTCATCCTCCTCCCATCCCTTAGTGCTCTCAGAGTAATGCAAATATGGTAGTACATATTTTGAAAAATAATTTATTTCTCTTGTAGACTACACTGCTGGGAGCTCTTCAGGGTATGGATTGCCTCCTAATCTTTGTATCATGAGCTAATAAAACGGTCCTTGTCACAGAGAAAATGAACAAACGCTTACTAAATTTCATTAATCTGTTAATACACTACCTCGAGTGTTTTATTTTAACATCCCAAAACTAACCCACTTAGGAACTGCTTTATTTTTTTTTCCTCTACCCTAAATCATTAATTCCTAACTTGGTTATAGTCTGACAGATTTTCCAGAACATACACAAATTCAGCTATGAAACAGGAAAACAAATTAGGCATTGTCATGTGGTAATTTTAAATCAAGAGTCTTTTAAATGTCACCCATATCACCTAATAAAGTTTAGTTAGTTACTATTAAATTAGTGAAATAAGTTACATACAATGGACTTAGGAGTTACATCAAGATTTCCTGAAGTGGAATCTAAACATTCCTCTTGCCACAGGCTCTATGGATAGAGTTTCCTGGTCAAATAAGTGTGGGCAATGTTGCATACTGTATCTTTATGGAATTTCAGTGTACATTAGTATTAAAGTTATACTATAAGACTCTGAAAGGTCCTGTAGTATAACCTCTCTTTAATACAGCATTTCTCAAATTTATCTGCTCATGGAATACCTTTTTTACCTAATAACCTATTATTCTACAGAACTAATGTGATACTATTTTATGGAATCAGAAATATTTAAATGTCTTAAAGAGACCTTTCTATTTGGTCTACTCGTACTAAACTATTTGATTTTATTTTTAATTTTAATATCACATCCAAGAAAAGCTTTGGATTTTAATTTAACTTTCTAGTTGCTACCATTTACTGTATGTTTCTCTTTCAGAAACAGCCCTAGCAGTCATGATACATCCCTCTTATGATGACTGCTCAAATATCTTCTGAGAGGAAGTTCTGTTGCTATACCAAACAACTGTACTTCTCTCCTGAGGCAGTTATAGAAGTAAAGACAACTGACAAATGTCAACCAAGTACACCTTTCCACAGGCCAGGCAATACAAGTAACTTTTGTTCGCTAACAACAGATAACATATTAAATAGAAATATGGCTAATAGAATTATTTTCCTTACTGGATAATTAAGATCAAATAAAATAATGTTTGTGTAAGTGCCTTATAACTCTAATCCTAATTAAAAACAAGTAATAATAAATATTAAAAAGTAATTTAATTTTGAAGAGGACTTGCCAGTACTTTTAATGACTAATCATAATATCGTATTTAGTTTTTGCTTTTTGACAAGCCCCATGTTGGTTGCTTTCACATTAGTTATTTAATTGCTCTTATTTCCTATTACTTTCATTACAGTCTCCAACTTGCTTATCTAATAGTTTAAAAGCCTTCTGATGACTTATGAAATGCTGTTAACAGCACATCTGAATTAAATTCAATTAAATATTTATTGGTATGATCTTTCTTCATTCTTTCCTAAACTTATTCAACCTGCTTTTAGAGAAGGCTTGCTGCTGAAGTGAGCTTGCTGCAAAATTGGCATCTCGAAAACAGTTTTCCATCTTTCACTGATGGTTCTAGCATGTAGAACTCACCCCATCCAAAGAATAAGCTGGGCCAGGAGTTCACTTTGGGACATGTTAAAATTGTCGCCTATAGCTATGTGAAGATGGTCAGTAGGCAGTAGTTTATAAGGGTATGAATCATAAGGAAAGAGTTCAGGGCTATAGATTTGGAAGTCATTCCTATAGATAATTACTGAAGCCATGAGAGTAGAACAGAGAGAATGCTGAAAAGCACTAATACTTAAAAGATAAGAAGGAGAGGAGGCTGAAAAAGAAACAGAAGATATAGCTACGGCAGAGCTGTCCAAAAGAATTTTCTTCAATGATGGAAACAGCCACTAGCCGTATCTGCCTATTGAGCACTTGAGGTTTGGCAAGTGTTATTGAGAAACTGAATATTTAGTTTTTTAAAAATATGAATTTAAATTCAAATAGCCACATGTAATTACTGCATTGGACAGTGAAAGGCTACAGAGTAGGCTGAAAATAAAAGTGATGTCATGGTAGTCATCAAAAGAAAGTATCTCAAAAGGCAGGGAATGGTCAACACTATCAAATATTAGAGAGGATAAGCCAGGTAGGACTAAAAAGTGACTACTGTATTTAGCAATTTATGCATTGAATTGTGTCCCCCAAATCTTTATATGTTGTAGTGCTAACCCCCACTACCTCAGAATGAGACTTCATTTGGGAACAGGATCGCTGCAGATGTACTTAGTTAAGATGAAATCATACCGGAGTAGGCTGGGTTCCTTTTTCAGTATAACTGCTGCCTTTATAACAACAGTAAATTCTGACACAGAAACATGTACACAGAGAGAACACCATGTGAACATGAGGGCAGAGATAAGGGTGTTTACAAGACAAGGAGCACCAAAAACTGCCAGCAAACCACTGGAAGCTAGGAGAGATCCCTGGAATGGATCTTTCCCTAATGCCTTCTGAAGGAGCATAGCCTTAACATTTTGATCTTGGACTTCTAGCTTCCAGAATTATGAGACAATACATTTTTGTTGTTCAAGCCACACAGTTTGTAGTACTTTGTTACAGCAACCCTAGCAAACTAACACAACATGAAAGAAATATTTGATACATGCTACTTGCTTTGTCTATCTACCGAAATCTTTAAAAATATATATTCTTATTTAAATATTAATCTTCTAGTGTATAGGGAATAAAGTTGTTAAAAACTGTATATTAACATTAAATGTTTAAGAGTAGTCATCTAATAAATTCTAACTAATGATGTTAAATTTCACTTACATATCTAAAGTACAAGGCTTCCTTGAGATCTACTTATTTGGCTCAAACATTCCTTTCACATCATCATAAATTTCATGTTTTAAAAACAATTATCATAAAAAAGCCACTTACCTTTGGTTTCTAAACTTTTAAGAGTAGTCATTTTTTCCCCTTAACCACTGAAAATGCACTCCAAGACTTCTGAACAACCTAGAAATATATGCATATGAAATAATTTAAACAATATCATATAAACACATTCATTGAGTACCTCTAATTTAAAAGTTATGATATTTTAATTGCTTCTGTATTTAGTACACATGCATTTAAAAAGGAAATATCCCTTACATCCCATTTTCACAGAAGACATTGTTATGTCTACCACAAGTCTCAAAAAAAAAAATTAGGGGTGGTTTACTTCCAAATACTCCATTTCACCATCCTCACCAATACACTCTTAATTGTCAGAGGTGTGTCCTGAATTTTAGTGAGCAATGGCAATGAAGTTACTGTGGTGGCTTTGTGTAATTCGTATCCATATGACAAGGGGAATTTTAAAGTAATTATTTTCTTAGGAGACATATTGACGCAATTTGTACACACACACACACACACACACACACACACCCCAAAAGGAGCTTCTGTTTAGATGTTTAACAAGCGACAAAAATATTACTCAAGATAGCATAATTTATACTTTTTTGGTAATAAAAAGTTAAAATAGTGTAGCTTCTAAAGTAAAAAGAGAAACATACATTGAGCACATTTCAGAAATGTATGCATTGCCTTAAAGTACAGACTCAGATTTACCAGAGAACATATGAGAAAGGTGATGCTACTGCAATGATATAATTATGACAAGCTGTACATTAGATGAAAACTGGTTTCACCACAAAAAAAGATCGCCAGTACTAGAAACAAGTCAGCTCAGTTAGTGAATCCGACGACTAATTTCCTTAACAGTCACAAACTTTTCTACACTTAAAGTTTGTAGCTCCGAGAACAACTGCTCCGAAAAGAGGTCTCCAAGTAACCCTTCGTAAGGGTAACGATCCCTGAAACTGCCCTTGATAGTTGCTCTGTGAAACGTACAGGCACAGTGAGTGCCTGCCGGCAAATGCCAAATGAAGGGGAGGGGATGAAGAAGTAAGTAGGGGGAGTGGGCAGGTATGAAAGCGATAGGCCGGGAAGCGACGAGCCCGTCAACTTTTGCTGTCCCAGGAAGTCGAAACCAGAGTTCCATCCCTGTCTGAAAAAGCTTTCCCGGAACAACAATCTTTCCCTAAATCCACAGCTACTGGCCACCAAGCTCCAACCCAGACTTCCGACCCTTTCCAACATCCTCTCTTAGTTATACCTGCTTGTCCTCGGGTTTAGCTCTAAGATTCTTATTATCCCTATTTCAGGTGGCTTCACTTGACAGGCTCTTCGGATCGATATCACCAGGTTAACTTCTCACAGATCTCTCCCATTCAGAAGCCGGCCCGCCCAGTCCCTCCACATATCCAGCGGCTCTCTCACTTCTAACCACTTCCGATTACTCAGGGTTTCGCTTCCGGAATACGTTTCCAAAAGAGAAGGGTAAACACATTCTGCAGTGAGTTTAAACTCAAGTAACACAGAACACACAGTGTAAGGCCTCCGTAAGTGAAGAATGGACAGATGTGTACTTTAAAATAAAATACCGTACTGCAACTTTTGGAGCCCAAGGGTAATGTTCACTTAAAATTCCGGGTCATCTATCAAACAAACGGAAGTAAAATTGCCGGAAACAGGAAAATGGCGTCCCGTAGCCCCGGCGACAGCATGGAGGGGCGGGTCTGGCGATTGGATGGACGCAGCTGAGATTCCTTTCAGCTACTAAGGACGAAGAGGTGGGGCGGTGGCGTCTCACGCACTTTGCGGCAGTGGGCGTGGCTCTGTTGCCTGAGTAACCGGATAATGGTGGTGGTGGTGGTGTCTTCTTGTCTCTACGATACGTTTTTTCTAGTGCTGAGATCCTGAGACGATGGTGAGTGCCCGGGGAGGCCAGAAGAACGGCTCTGGGGTCCTAGTTACGTAGCGTTCCAAGTCTTCGGGGAGATGGGCACTTAAAGTTGCTCTGTCTGTCCTTCCCACCTTCTCCCCATTATCTCTTTCCCTCTTCCCACGGGTTGTTCCTGCAGTCGCCTCGCTCTCCGTATTTCTTGCAGCACCTTGAATTCCACTAGTGATACTAAATCTCCAGAGTAATGAAACAGAAAATTTAGGGTAAGGCATTGAGTCTCGTAACCTAAGGTGAGACAGTATTTTGAACAAACATTTTGTGTTTGCATTGTTCGTCATGGCATTCTTCAAGCTCAGATTATCAATAACGCGCTTTATTAAGAGTATGGGATGGTGTGTATGCGACTCTGTCAAGACTTATCTGAATCTCCCTAGATTTTGCTTTTCTGAGTGGCAGAGCACTCCCCCACGCTCGTACGAGGGCCATTAACAGGTATATATTGGATCAGCTGTCTTCAATCCAGTTGGTTACCTTCTAGGTCTGTGCTTGTTTCCTCCCCTCCCCTCCCCTCCCTTCCCTTCCCCTCCTTTCTCCTCTCCTCTCGTCTCTTCTCTTCTCCCCTCCCATACCCTCTCCTCCTCCTACTCCTCCTCTTTCTCCTTTTTCTTCTCTCTTTTTTTTTTTTAAACAGAAATTTCCCTGGGATTGCTTGGAGAGCTTCTGGAATTCACTGTTTGAGCTTCAGCCCCAGAAATTCTGAATGAATAGGAATAGGACTCGGTATTTGCATTTTAAATAAACCTACAGGTGATTTTAATTCACCCACATGTTTGAGAGTACCAAGGTTCTACTTAATTCACCTAACTACCATATCTTTTAAGCGCTTGTGGATAATGGACTGGAGGATAGAAAGATCTTTGGATAGTTACAGCTATGAATTTAGAAACAGAGCCCCACCTACCACCCCTTGTTTCTTCATACTACTCAGCAATCCTTTTTGTTACCCCAGTTTTCCCCTGCACATTTTCTGTAAAGACATTTTCAAACCTTCCCTTTATAAAACCTTGTCCCTTGTCCTCCTCATTTCTCCTTTCTAAACATGATGGAGTATAATAGGCCATTTCTTCAACCTCATGCTCCCAGCCTACACATTAATCTATATTTTTGCCCAGACTTTAGTCTTGTATTTCTATTATAGAGAAAGAGATATTAAAGGATAATCCATCTATCTTTACTCTTGATCTCATTTGCTCCCATCTGTTACAAAACATTTTGCTTCCAGTTGTCTTTTTTCTTTCCTGTGCTTTCAGCCTCTTCTTCAGCTTCTTCTCCTCAGTGCTCAAGTCACACATCTTATGAAAATTAAATAAAGCAAAAGCATGTCCTTCATCCTGTGTTTATTCAGTTATTTCCCAATCCTCGTATCTATCTATAAACTTCTTGAAAGCATGGTGTTTTTACTTATATCAAACAGAGAAAAGTCTTTTACCTGGCTTCTTTAATGGCTTCAAGAAAGTTGTTCTTAAGTTTCTAATGGCCTTTTATATGCCAAATCCAGTAATTACTTCTCAAAATTTATATTGCTTAGTCTCTTTGTGACAACTGAGGTTTATAGAATTAATTCCTTTCACTGGTTGTGGCTGGTTTTTGAATGTCATTCTTTGAAATTCACTCTTAATTACTTTCATTTCTTAGTCTATACATTTTCCTTTGGTGATTTTGTCCACTCACATAAATTCTAATGCCTTTGATTTTGCTTCTAAATTTCAATTTTTCTCTCAGATCTACTAGTGCCTAACTCAATTGCTTCCTGAACATGTTTGTCTCAAAGTCCCTCAAACTAAATATGACCAAAACTGAACTTGCTATTTTTACTCCTGGTTTCTCCTATTTACACCAAGTTAAATAATGATACTACTATATTATAACCTAAACTAGAAATAAGAGTTATCCTACATTCCTTCCTCTTTTATTCTTCCCATATTCAGTTGGTCACTAGATCATATTTTGGTTTGTCATCTCCTCATTTCTTGATTATTTTATTAGTGTCTTTTACAGTCTGCTCTGGAAATTCTCCAGCCCACTATTTTCTCTGCCACAAGAAGGAATTTTTAAAAACCCAACCTGTTGATTTACTCACCTCTTTAAAACTCTAGATTCTCCATTTCCTACAGTAAAATGTCTAGAATCGCGCACAAGTTCCTCTATGAACAAGCACTTTTCTGTCTAACTTTTGCCTTTCCCTTCCCATATATATATATATTTTTAAAATTTTCTTGCCTTTTAGCTACTTGCCTTTCATAGAACATACCAAGCAACTTCAAACTGGTAGTATGCCTCCTCTCTCTACTTTGCACTTGCAATTCCGTTTACACAGAATACCTGCACCACCTTGTTGCTTCCCAAACTCTATTTATTATTCTGTTACAGGCCAACAGGTTCTTCTTCCCCACTTCCTAGAAAGGCCAAGCATTGAGAATGCAGGAGTTGCAGCAGAGAAAGAGTGTAATGGAGGCAAGGCCGCTGAGTGGAAGGAAGGGATATATTTTTCAAATCCCCCTCCCTGACAGCTTGGAGATTATGGTTTTCTTTTTTTTTTTTTTTTTTTTTTTTGAGGTGGAGTTTCACTGTTTTTGCCCAGGTTGGAGTGCAATGGTGTGATCTCAGCTCACTGCAACCTCCGCCTCCTGGGTTCAAGCAATTCTCCTGCCTCAGTCTCCTGACTAGATGGGATTATAGGCATAGGCCACCACACCTGGCCAATTTTGTGTTTTTAGCGCAGACAGGGTTTCTCCATGTTGGTTAGGCTGGTCTTGAACTCCTGACCTCAGATGATGCGCTTACCTCAGCCTCCCAAAGTTCTAGGATTACAGGCGTGAACCACCACACCCGCCTGGGTTATGGTTTTTAAGGATAATTTTGTGGGCAGGAGGGTAGGGAGTGGGCACTGCTGATTGGTTGGGGATGAATTTCTAGGAGTCTTCAGACTGTCTTCCTATGAAATGTTTTTCAGTTTCCAACTTTATAATACTTTATCCTAACAGCTTCTTTTTTCTTTCTTTTTTTTTTTTTTTTTTTTTTTTTTTAATAGACAGACTCTTGCTCTGTCGCCCTGGCTGTGGAGTGCAGTGGTGCAATTTTGGTTCACTACAACCTCCGTCTCCTGGGTTCAAGCAATTCTCATGCCTCAGCCTCCCAACTAGGTGGTACTACAGGTGCATGTCACCATGCCTGGCTAACTTTTGTATTTTTAGTAGAGACAGGTTTTTGCCATTTTGGCCAGGATAGTCTCTAACTCATGACCTCAGGTGATCCACCCGCCTTGGCCTCCCAAAGTGCTGGGATTACAGGCATGAGCCATGGCACCCAGCTAGCATCTGCTTTTTATTCATCCAGAATTCCTTTTGTTACTTGAATTGCGGATTTGGAAGAACTACAGTTCCAAAGATCCACAGGATTTCATTTACTAGAAATGAATCAGAAAGTATAGGGCATAAATTGCAGATACGAAACTTTAAAAAAGTTTATTTTCCTATATTTTGTATTACAAATGCAGTTTGGAGCCTGTTATATTCTTGTTTAGTAGGAAACAGTGATATTTGCAGAACTGAATAGTAAGTGGTTAATATAATGCCATAATTTTCCTTACATGTAGCTTTTTATTTATTTTTTGCTTTCCTTTTTCTGCCTTTTTATTCCCAATTCTTTCTCATTCACCAGTTATTCATCTATTGAAGAAAGTATTTATTGAGTGCTTTCCGTATGCTGGTAACTGGTGGCTATATATTGATTAATAAGATAGCACACAGTGGCCCCTACCTCATGGAATTTATGGAGAAAAACAGATATTGGAAAACAAATTACAAGTGTGAGTTGGGTTAGAAAAATGACAAGAGAAAAATGACAAGGTGAGGTGGAAATTAGTAATAAAATAGAGTGATCTGAACTAGCCTGGGGTGATTGGGGAAAGCCTCCTTGATGATAAAACTTTTTAATTCTTTTTTTTTTTTTAGTTTTGGAGAAAATTTACATGAATAAATAAATGATCACCTCATATGATGATAAGCACTATGAGGGAAATTTAACTAAGCAATGCAATATTGGTTGGTTCCAAGAGCGAGCAGCCTTGAGTAGGACAATCAGGGAAGGTCCTCATCAGGATGCGACTTTTAAGCTGAGATCTCAGTGATTAAAAGGAGCTTGCCAGGTGGGGAAAACTAGAAGAAGAGCATTCCAGAAAGAGTCAATAGCAAGCACAGAAGTGCCTTAGAGGAATAGGAGGGAGCTAGTGTGACTGGGGCTACAGAATGAGAGGATGGCTGGAGGAGAAGATACGGGAAAGGCAGGAAGGAGCCAGGAATACTGAGACTTATGGAACTTGGGAAAGATTTTAGATTTTATTTTAAATGCAGTAGGATTATGTATCTTATATATTTACCTATTCCATCAAAATATTTTATTTTCCTTGGATCTGCCTTATTTAAACTTTAGCCATATTAATTTGGTCTATTGGTGCTTATTTTTATCTTATCTGTAACATTTATGATCTTATAAACTTTGGAAAATATTTTTCTGACCTGCTCTTGTCTTTGAACTTCAGAGACTCCTACTTTCATCCCTTATAGTTGGCATTTCATAATTTATTTTCCCTTTTCTGGATTTTTTCTTGTTTGTTTCTATAATATCTATTCTAAGGTGTGGCAAGCAGAGCTATATATTCCAGGTGCGTATGCATTATAGTTTCAGTGTGGGAATTATGTTTGCCGCTGTGATCCTCACCTGGTTTCTTTCTTGATTGTGCTAGAGCGTATGATTGAAGTATCTTATTTTCCAGAAATATCTCCAGCATTCCCAATGAACTTTGTATTAACTTCTTTTCAAAAACTGTTTAAACTACTTCACTTCCAAAGTTGTCGATATTTTAAAACTCTGTAAATTATATGTGAGAAACTGTAGCTATTAAAATGTACTGCTTAATTCACATTTATTTTCTGATGCTAGACACTTTGCCTTATTAAGTTGCC